TCTACATAGGTGAAGAGCACACCAGAGGAGTGTACTAGTATTAGGAAGGTTAAGCACACATGTAAAATTGTTTAGTCAAAGTATCACGTACTGAGCTAAGTTAAACAAAAATCAAATCTAGCAAACCATTCTCTTTTCTTCATTCTGGTTTCAGTGCTTATAAGAACAAAAACAGCCCATACAATCATCTGTTAAAACTTTGTTAGCGCACACAGTCCACTCCTTCTAAGACTCTGTCATTCCTCTATCAGGACGGTAACAGGTGTAGGTAGATATAAAGCCCAAAGATGATTCTGTTAGAGTAACTGCTTTTAAAGAGTTTCCTAGGCTGGGCGCTGGTGGCTCACACCTGTAATCCTAGGCTGAGATCTAAAGATCACAGTTCAAAGCCAGCCCTGCCAGGCAAGTCTATGAGACTCTTCAAATAACCATCAGAAAACCAGAAGTTGAGCTGTGGCTCAAGTGGTAGAGTGCTGGCCTTGAGCTGAAGAGCTCAAGGACAGTGCCGAAGCCCAGAGTTCAAGCCCCATGACTGACCCCCCCCCAAAAAAAAAAAAAAAAATTTTCCTAAGGCCCTGGATCTGAAAAATCTCTCATATAAAACAGAGTCCTATTGGCCCATATAAATGAGTCTACTAAAAGCATGACAAAAACCCAGGCATGTAAAGAGAAGTATGTATACCCACAGTCACAAGAAAAAAATTCTCAAGCAGTTCCAGTAACTATTACTGTTAGTCCACTAAGCACATGGTTTTACTTGCTTTTTCAGTGTGCAAGACTATATAGCATATTCTTTTAGACAAGCCAAGGAGGAACTTCAGAATTCTTTGATATCATACTTGTTTTATTTATGTGATAAAAGAAAAGGTTTTGTTGGGAACTAGAAAAATAAATCACTAAATAGGGAAGAGAAACCTTCACTAACAAATATACAGCAGTCCTGCTTAATTGCCAAAGACCTCACTTTATCAGCTGTATGAAGCAATACAGTCATCAGGTTTTATTTTCATATATTAGGCAGGAGCAAATCATGAAGGGCTTTCCTAATGGGATCCAGAACAGTAAGGTACAGACCTGCCTCTGGAAAGGGAGCATTCTTATCTATTCACACTGTACCCAAAGTACAGAAAACATGACTGGAATTCCAAACACCAACCACAGTGGATTCCAAAGGCCTACAGCGAATGAACAATGAAGTGCCTCTTGGGAAGACCCGAGAAGAATCTACTACAGGGGGGCCTTCACAAAGCTCCCTGACTCAGCAAAAAAGAGCTGTTGGATTTTGCTCAGGAAAAAAAAAAGGGGGGGGGTGGGGAGGCAAGGGAAGAAATGTCATTTCCTATCCCTGGAAAGAAAGGGGGGGGGGGGGAGGAGACAACAATACTAGGTTTTTGCAACCTGAAACTGCTAAAAATAAAGAAAAGGTATGTAAGTCGGCGGGGTGGCTCGTGTCTATGATCCTATCTACTCAGGGGAACTGAGATCTGAGGATTGTGGTTCAAAATCAACACAGGCAGGAAAGTCTGTAAGACTCTTATCTCCAATGAACCACCAAAAAGCTGGAAATGGAAGTGTGGCTCAAGTGGTAGAGCACGAACCAGCCTTGAGAGAAAAGGCTAAGAGACAGCACCCAGAGCCTGAGTTCAAGCCCCAGTACCGGAGCACACACAAAAAGGTTTGTCCTAATCTTCTTTTCTTTAACTGAAGACTTACCTTGTCCCAAGTACTAAACCAATTAATGGAGAGCATCGCTGCTCACGGTACGACGTGCGGGAAGCCGGTTGGAAACAACGGCATCTCGGGCCCTACCCCGGAGCGGCTGACTCAGAAATGTCCGAGGGATTACAGTGCACAAAGGATTCCGGTGTGGCAAGAGGTGAGGAGGGAGATCTCACTGCATCTTCACACTGCCCTGGGAGCCACGTACAGTTATATTCTCACCTAGCACCGGGGCAGGTTGCGGTCGGGTCGCAGGACGCTGGTGGCGAGCGTGACCGAGGCTCTCCGGGACCGGGGCCTGGGCGCACGCCACGGCCTGGACGCCCCAGGAAGGCTGGAGGCTCAGCCCCCGGGCAGGAAACGGCCGCCGCGACCTCCTCCCCAGCCGCTGCCACTCACCTGAGCCTGGCCAAGGCGGGCGCCGCAATATGTGGCCTAGGACCCCGCAGGTTGAGGAGACACGTCCGCTCCTCCACCAGCACCGGAATCCTCAGCGCCACTTCCGGCTTGCCGTCCGCTACTTCCGCCTGCTAGGCGAGGGACGGGTGCATAAGAGGCTCAAAAGACTCTGCCGCGTTTTCTAAGGACCAAGTCCACTAGAGGGCATGAATGAAAACGCTGGGACGTCTGTGCCCTCCGGGGTAAGAAATAGCACCCTGAACGGGTCACCCTGGAAGTAACTGAGCATCGTAGATACAGGTTTGAATCTGGACATCAGGGTTTTATGACTTTGGGGAACTCACTGTAAACTCTCAAAACCTGGTTTCTCAGCTATATAGTGAGGCTTACAATGCATTTATAATAAGATGTATCTATAAAGTGCTCTCAGGAGAATTAGTGATGGATAGGCCAGACTATTTGGAAAAATGGATGTGATGAGTTAGTGCTGGAGACCAGAACTGTGATGGGTGAGCCAGGCATCTCCCCCCACATCCCCCATCCCCCACCCCCACCCCAACGCCATCACTGTGGTCTCATACCTGGGTTGCTTTAGGGATCCTAGGAAAGAAAGAGACTGCCGAAACTCCACTTCATTAGAAGGGTCAAAGCCAGTCACCAGTGGCTCATGCCTGTCAACTACTCAAGAGGCTAAAACCTGAGGATAGGGGTTTGAAGTCATCCCTGCCAGGAATGGGCTCTTCTCTCCAATTAAACACACACACACACACACACACACACACACACACACACAGCATAACTGGAGATGTGGTATAAGTAGTAAAGTACCAGCCCTGAGTAAAGTTCAGGGACAACACACAGACCCTGAGTTCAAGCACCAGAATTGGCATACAGACACAAGAAGGGGGCAGCAGGGGCAGAGGGCAGCCTCTATTGCCATATCTGAGGGCTGAGGGTACTTGAAAGTTGCTGATGAGAGTTTTCATACCTTGTCCCTGCCATCCATTCAAAGGGCTGTGGGGGAGACCCAAAAATGCTCCCTCTAGGGGCTGGGAAGGCAGCTCAGTGGTAGAACGCTTGCCTTGCATGCCTGAGGCCCTGGGTTCGATTCCTCAGCACCACATAAGCAAAAAGAAAAAAGTCGGAAGTGGCGCTGTGGCTCAAGTGGTAGAGCACTAGCCTTGAGCTGAAGAGCTGAGGAACAGTGCCCAGGCCCAGAGTTCAGGCCCCACGGATGGACCCAAAAAAAAAAAAAAAATGCTCCCTCCAGACAGCATCTTATCAAAAGTTATATAGAGAGGACATGACCTGGCCAAGGTGAGGGTCCAGCATCCTAACTGCTGAACTTTGTGGAGAGCAGTTTGCCTGGCACCCCAGACCACGGATGCCACTGCTTGAGGGGCCTCTCAATAGGTCAGACCAGGAAATGCTTATTAGTTGTTGATTACAGGTCTGTCTCTGCTAGCAGTGGCCAGACAACAGAAAGCCCATCTCTAGGAGATGTGAGACAATCCTATTACTCTTTGCCAAATACTCAATTTCCCAATCTCCCTTGAAGTAGGAGGAGCATATGACTCAGTTCTGACCAACAAGATTAAAAGGGAGGGATGCTGACACGATTATGGGAAAGCTTTTACTTGCCTGATAAAGTGATGCAAACCAATCCCTTCATAAGATGGCAGCCACCTTGTGGCAAGGAGGAAACAAGCTAGTATGGGAGAATTAGCCTATCTAGGTCCACAATGAATCAACTTCTTTGACACCTACACCCAGACTTCCCCCCCCCCCCCCCAGGAGAGGAAAAATGAACCACTAAGATACTATAAATCAGGGCTGGGAAGATGGCTCAGTGGTAGAGTGCTTGCCTCACATGCATGAGGCCCTGAGTTTGATTCCTCAGCATCACATAAACAGAAAAAGTTGGAAGTGGCATTGTGGCTCAAGTGGTAGAGCACTAGCCTTGAGCTAAAGAGCTGAGAGACAATGCCCAGGCCTAGAGTTCAAGCTCCACAATCAACAACAACAAAGGTACTGTAAATCAGGAATGGGAATGTGGCTTAGTGGTAGAGTGCTTGTCTAGCATGCATGAAGCCCTGGGTTAAATTCCTCAGTACCACATACACTGAAAAAGCCGGAAGTGGTGCTGTGGCTCAAGTGGTAGAGCACTAACCTTGAGTACAGAGAGGCTCAGGGACAGAACCCAGACCCTGAATTCAAGCCCCACGACCAGGAAAAAAAAAAAGATTCTGTAAATCAAGTTGTGTTTCCTACAGCAAAACACATTCTTGATTGTGTGGCTTTGAGGACAGAAGCAATTCTGGAAAAGGACAACTCACTGCTATGCACTACACTTATCAGATCCATTTTGTTACTAATTGCCAACCCATTCTGTCCTTTTATACCCTCTTCCCTCAACAATATGCCAGTCACTATAAAGTGGCTTAGATAAGTTCAGGCTGTATCTCGTGTTGCCAAAGAGAAAGCCCCATTGGGTAGAAATATAGAAGTTATTCACACACACAGACACACACACACACACACACACACACACCAACTTGGGGGAAGTGCACAGGAGCTTGGGCATGGGCCAACCTCCTAGTAGGGCCCAGTGAACACCTCTGGTTTCATGCTTCCCCTGGGAAATGTTTACTCCAGCTTTGCCCTCTCCACTGTTGGACCTTACCTCCTGCACCTGCAAAGACACAATCAGGCCACAGAATGCCATTCAAGAGGCTTTCTCCATTTTATTTCTTTGGGAAAAGAAAACGAAAAGTCTTTCCATCACATATGGTAGATATATATATATATTATATATATTTATATATAATTTATTTTGTGGTTGGACATCCCAAAGCTGAGTCTGTTCATATTTTTTTAATTTATTTTCCTACTAATGCCTTCTTTTCTCCCAGTCCCTGTGGCCCAGGCCCAGGTTCTGGGGCAGGTGCAATGAGGAGTGGGGTAGAATAGGCAGTGGTTGCCAGGATAGCCTCCCATCCAGCTCAGGAACCTGATGAGGACCACCCAGAAGGGGCTGTGCAGAAGGTTGGAGGCCATGAAAGGGGCACTCCTGTTTTTGTGGGGGTTGCACAGCTCATTAAACAGTCACCAGTCATGGGAGGAGGCTGGTCAGGGGCTGGGGGACTTGCTCACAGTAGTTGCCAACTCTCTCCACTCTGCCCCCCAAACTCAATTTTGGGGGTGGAAGAGAGAGTGAAAAAGAGAAATACAAGGACTGAGGGCCAAGCCTCCTCCAATTTTTATTGCTGGTGAATTAGAAATTTACTTTCTTAGAAGGGAAATGGGAAATTCCCTTCCTATCTTGGGGAGATAGACTCTGAGAAGGACCCCAGAGAAGGAAGTGACATTGGCTGCTCCAACCCCTACTGATGGCCATCCCAGCCCTCCCTGGGCAAATACTGAACCAACTCAGAGCTTGGCAAGGAACCAAGAGGTCAGTGTTCCTCTCAGGCCAGCCTTGTTCTTCAAGGGCAATCACATCCTACCTGCTCTGGCCCTTCCCCAAAACAAGGGCCTCAGGCTCAGATTTGAGCCAGTAGAACTGGGAAGTGGGCAGTGCACCAAAGGTCAAGCAGAATTTCCTACTAGAAGAAAGGTGAGACTTTGAGGAAAAGGCAGCCTGGGAAGATGATATTCTGAGCGTGAAAGCAGGAGGCTGGGGGGGGAGTGAGTGAAGGAAGACACAGGAAGACATCACAGACACTCATCTGACCTCAGAAACTGGGCAAGGGTAGTGCCTGAGAGGCAGGTTGCACTTAATAGCTGTAGTTAGAGCTGGACAGTGGCCCTGGGTGTGGGGTTAGCCAAGCAGTAGGGGGAGGGAGGGCTATTGCCCTGCAGAATTCTGGCCAGAAGGGTAAGGGTAGAGCTAAGAAGCCTCCTCCTTTCCTTAAGAACAGGAGGGCAGATCTGTCCTGGGCACTGAGCTTCCAGCCCCAACCCTTCTCTCCCCTAACACACACATAGAGACATACACTCAGGACCAGGCCAGGCTCTGATGCCTGAGCCCAAGAGACCTTGGGGGGAGGGGCTGGGCAGGTAGCCCTCTCAACCACAGGCAGGCCATCTGCTCCCTCTTGTCCTGCCAATCTGCCCCCGGGGAGGGGAAAACCAACCACATGAAGGAGAGAGACTGGGAGCCCAGGATCTGTCAGCATCAGCAGACCCGTGCAGGCCCCCTCAGGCTGCACAGCCTAGGAGTACAGAAACTGGACACAAGGTGGCCAACGGCAGCATCCCAGACCCCCCTAGAAGGGCTGGGGCATCTCCTGGCACTACAGGCCTGCTGCCTCCATCTCCAACAAGGGGCTTCCCAGAAAGGGAGCACACTCCCTGCTGCCTGGGCCCTCAAACCCATGCACTCTGATTCCCCCATGCCCTCCTTGGGAGGAGGGGTCCACGTGGCTGCCCATGGGGGCAGTGCTAAAGCTGGGGGGGGGGGGGCGGGAGGAGCCTGGTCACAGCTGCTTTGAGAACCTCTTTGGTCTGGGGATATGGGGGACATGGGGAAGGGAAATGGAGGGAAAGGGATACTAGGACCTCAGGCCTTCCAACAGGGTATTTGTCAGAAGGCCATGTGCCTAGGTGAAGGATCAGATTTCTGTGGACTCGATGCGCTCAAGCCGAGAGGGGGTCCAGGCCTTCTTCTCCTCCCCATGCTGGGGGGTAGGTGTGCTTGCACCCCCTGAGGCTCCACGTTCCCGCAGCCGCCGCTCCAGCTGCTGGTTGCGCTGATACATCTCCACGTAACTCAGCTGTAACTGCTTCTGGTACTCGATCACTTTCTCCTTCTCCTCCAGCCACACGCGGCGTTCCTCTGCAAAGCTGGCACCCTGGCGCTCCCGGGCCCTCCGCTCAGCTGCCAGCTCGGCCTGCAGCCGCCCCACCTCCCTCCGCAGGGCCCGTGTCCCATTCTCCCCACCAGCATCCACCTCCCCATCCACAGAAACTAAGGAGGCAGCAGCCGTCACCCCAGCCTGTCGACGCATCTTGGCCTCATCACTCTCACAGGTGGCCAGGGCTTCCTGTGGCTCAGCCAGGTCTACAGGGGTGAGCGCCGGTTTGAGGCAGGCAGGGGGCAGCTCTCCCTCACTCAGCTCCAGGCTGGCCTGTTTGCTGCCGAAGGAGTCCCTCAGGCTGAGCAGCTGCTCCTCCTTCTCCCTCAGCGAGGCTCGGCCTTCCCGCAGCTGTGAGCGGAGCCCCACGATCTCACTCAGCTTCTGTGACACGTCAGCCTGTGAGTCCTTCAGCTGTTGCTTCAGGAGGGAAATCTCACCAGCCTTCTGACACACCTGGGCAGGGAAAGGTAGCAAGAGAAACCAGGGTAAAGACAAAGCTCTGCTCAACCCTCAATCCAGCTCAAGCACCAGAGGCACCCAGCTTCCGTGCCAGCCTCAGTCCACTTCAGACAGACAGGGATGACACACCAGGCAACCTGCGGGGCTCAGGACAGACATGGCTGATCTCACAGAATCAGACACTCAACTGATTTGGTTCCCTTACTCCTTTCACTCCTCCCGTGACAGTTCTGGTCTACTGCTATGGGTTTTCTAGAGGAACAGAAGGAAGGGGAGATGGAGAAGGCCCAAACCCCCTGCCCGCACCTCCCACTTAGTTTCCTCCATCCGGGGCAAGAAGTCGGCCTGCTCCTTCTGACAGGCGGCCACCTTGTCCTCTAGCTCTTCCCGTTGCCGCATCAGCCGGGCCGCCTCCTCCTGCAACTGCTTCTTGTCCTGCTGCAGCCGCAGCACTTGCAACTGTAGGCCCTGCTGGGCACGCTGGGCACGGCGGGCCACCTGCTGCAGCTTCCCACTGCATCCCTGTCGCAGCTCGGCCAGCTCACGCTCCCACGCCTTCTGCCGCTCTTCTAGCACTTGAGCCACAGCAGCCTCACTCTGCTCCAAGCTGCGTCGAAGAGCTGCCACCTCCTGCTCCTTCTCCCACAGCCTCTCCTCCAGCTCCTGGATCAGTGCACTGGGCGAGGGTGGTGAGCAAGCTGCAAATGGTAGGCCTCCACCTCCACCCTCCCCAGACCCCAGGTGGCCTGACCGCCCCATGGATGATGATGATCCGCTCTTGCTGGAGGCCCGCCCACTGTCAGAGGTGCCCAGGTCCTGGTAGCCTGACCCCCCACCGCTGCTGCCACTACCGTAGCTGGCAGTGCCAATGCGGTTGATGTGGCTGGTGGAAGCACTGAGGGGGGCCAGGTGCTGGCTGTAGTTGGAACTATAGGTGGGCAGGCTTGTGAGTGAGTTCCGGCCTGAGTCTGAGAGACCACCTCCACTCCCCCCAGCTGGGGTCATGGTCCGAGACTTGTCCAGTCCTCCCTTGAGGCCACCTGGGGCCTGTCGTCCCTCAGGGGTCCCATTGGTCTGTGGGGGACACAAGTTCTGCATGGAATGGAAATTCTTGGGTACAACAGGCTTGAAGGCTGATGGCCGAACTAGTGGCTCTGAGCACTGCATAAAAGCAAGAGAAGGGGGAGTAGACATCAGAAGAAGACCTTAGATTGGCCCCAGCCTCTTCTCTTTGGTCTTGTCCGAGCACCACCTTCTATTCCTACTAGATCTCCACCCAGAGGCTCCTCATGTCTGTCCTCACTTTAGCTCTCTCCTAAGCCAGATCTCTCTGCTTTGGATCCAACAGCAACACTTAGGGCCCCACTCCTCAGCCCCCCAGCCCAGCCCCCAAGAAGGCCCACCTCACCCTTCTCTCTGGGCTATCTCCCACCCTGGCACGATGCTGTGAGGCTCCCAGACTCTGGTGACTGACCTGGTCTAACTTGCCCGAGGTTGCTAGGAGCTTAGGTGGGTGGTTGGGCTCACGATACTGTGGTGGGGCCTTGTCACTACCACTGCTGCTGCTGCCACCGCTGCTGCCCACCACATTGCCGCAGACATCTGTGTGATCACTGCCCCGCAGCTCGCCATTGAGGTAGAGGGAGTTGGCGAGAACTTTGTCTTCTGAGGGGTAGCGGCTGGGCCTCTCCCTGCTGGCCCCGCCACCACTCCCTCGGGGGCCAGGAAAACTGCCCTGGCTGCCCCCACCCCCTGTGCGGGTGCCCACGCTCTTCATGGGGAACTCCTGGGCATGGGCCACACCGCTGCCCACACTGCCCATGGCCAGGCGGGGATCTGGAGGGCCAAGCTCAGAAGGCCGTGGGGCAAAGGCCAGGAGGGGGTCCCGCCCTGGGTCGGCACGCACAGGCAGTGTCTCCAGCTTCGCCATGACTAAGCCAGGGGGGCACTGTGGGCACAGGTGGGAAAGCAGAGAGATCAGACCCCATTCCCAGTGCCAAGCCACCCCCAGGCATTCACCCCCTACCCCACTCTGCCCTTCAGTGTCCCTACAATGGGTACAAGATCTCGGGACCATCCAAGGTGAAGGAATAGGGTGAAGAGTGGTAATGTGGGCTGCCTGATACCCCAGGACGCCATGCACAAACCCTCCCGCCTGGGCACAGTTCAGTACTCCACTCCTCAACCATCCCATCCATCATGAGCCTCTCCGCCTCAGTGACCCTCTCTCTTGCAATTCCCAGAATTTAGGGGCTCTTTAGGTCTGGGCCTCTATATCCTAACCTCAGGACTGGGGAGGTGGGGTGGGAAAAGGAGAGCAGTATAGGAATCAGATAGAGAACCTCACAAGTTAAAGGGGAGACGTAACAACCCTATCCAAATATTGACGGTGGGGTCCTTCCCAGCCCCCTTTAACTTAAGGTGTTGCAGTCAGGGGCAGGGGTGGAAGCTCACTACCGGCGCAGGCTTCCGTCCTTGCCTTTCCAAGGGGGGTGGGGGGCCGATGGGTCCTCAAGCCTGGGACCCTCCGAGGCCCGGTCTGTAGGGGCCGAGTGGTTCGCTCTCACAGTCGGGGCTCGGCCCGAACCAGCGGCGCGCCTTCGGACGAGCTGACCGAGTCATCCTGGACTGCAGTTTTCTCCTCTGCGAAATGGGAGGAACAAGAACCTACCTCGCCCAGCTGCCGCGCGCCAGGCGCCGGGAGGCGGCGAGCGCGCGCGGAACCGGGGTCTCCGGGTGGGCTGGGCGGAGCCGCGGCTGCGGCGCAAGCCGGGGTCTGGCGCGGGCGCAGCGGTGAGCATGCGGACCCACGCACCCGGGCCGCGGCGGGCAGCGGAGTGACAAGAGAACCCTCTCGGAAGTCTTCCCAACTGGGCTGCACGGGGCCAGCCCAAGGGAGGGACCCCCGCCCCGAGATCCGTACCACGTAGTGGTCCCCCCCGCAGGCGGAGGCTGGAGGAGGCCCGGGGTCCCCCGGACGCAGCGCCCGCCAGCAGCGGGAGCCGCCCTCCCCACCAGCGTTGCCCACAGGTGGGTGGGGCCTCAGCACCCACCGGCACCCTGAGGATCCCGCCCCGCCACTCTAGGAATTCATTGCCACCAGGAAGACTTCCTGGATTACCCCCTCCCCCTTCCCTGTGGACCTTGACCCCTGCTCAGTTCACGGTAAAGTCCCCAGAGTCAGTTCTGGTGTGTGTGTGTCCCCTCTCCCAAAGCCGCCCTACAGAAAGGGCGGGGAGGGGGTGGGGAGGAGAGCTGGGCCTCAAGTTACCTGGGCTCCCAGAAGCCCCACTTCCCGGTTCTTTTGTTTCAGGTCCTCACCTGTCTCAGAAATCTGCATAATCCAGCTGAAATGGAGTGCACTAAGCAGTGCCAGCTGCTGGCTACATGCTTAGATGCATGTGTCAGAAATCAGAGGGGTCACCCTTCAGAACTGTAACACCCTATCCCAGCAGACACCAGGAAGGGAGCCCTTCCCTTTCTCTAAGGTGAGGGGCCCTGGTGGCACTACCTCAAGTGCTCTAAACTACACTACACTCATGCCTAGTTCACATGCTGTGTCCCTCCTATCAGACTCCAGACCAAGGGAGCTTGCCCTTCAGTGTCTTCTGATCATGCCAGTAATAACAGCCTTAGATGGTGGGAAAGTTTACCAGTAAGTTGATCTATAACCCTTGTAGAATTCCATTCTCTCAGCTGCCTTCAAAGGTGTGGAGAAAGGCAGGTTGCCACCCTCCCCCCTTGGGCCAGTTCAGCTGGAACTAGGCTGGAGCATGAGAGGCAGCTAGGGCACAACTGAAGTGCAGAGCAGACAGGTGCACCACCCTGACAGAGCTGTCTCATTAAAATTTGTGCTCCAGGCCTCTCTTGCCTCTCTCTAGACCCTGCTCTACCTCCACCAGTCAGCATACTCACAACTACTTGTTACCTTTCAACCTTGAAACTTCTTCCTACCCTAAAATGCCCCCTTTCTCTTACCATCCCTGAGTGTTTCCTCAGGGATACAAAAGGAGGTGGGGAGGCTGGGACTAGAAGGATGGAAGCTGAATGATCTGAGGTCTGGAACCAGTAAGGCCTGGGCAGAGTTTGGGAAAGAGGAACTGGCAAAAACTTCATACAGCCAGGGTTCAAGTGGAGGGGACTTGGTAGGAGTCTGGGCTGGGGTACCAGGGTGGTATGACACCCTTAACATGACAAGGGAAGATTGCTTAGGAGAAACAGGTGATTTTGAGAAGAACAAAAATACCTCTCACGCACTGGGTGGAGAGACTGGGATGTCAGCATCCAAGGGTGGTGTGGGTGGGCCCAGCATTGAGCTAGGGTGGCAGAGTCCCAGAAGTCTAGGAGGGAGTGTGGGAACAGGAAAAAGGCCAGAAGAAGCTGATCAAGAAGGGGAGGGCTTCAAGAATGTGGGGGCAAGGCACACCTGTAGTCCCAGCTATTCAGGAAGATCATTTGAGCCCAGGAGTTCAATGCACTCTGGGCAACATGGTAAGACTCTTATCTTTAAAAAAAAAAAAAAAAAAGTGGGGGCAGCTCTCAGTGTTAACAAAAAAGAGCATTGAAGAGTGTGCCCTGGATTTGGCAGCTAAAGACATCATTGGTGTCTACTTCAGAAAAGTGGTGCATAGGGGTGGAAGGGTGCAAAGAGAAGATGCAACAGAGTTCCCTGCTAAAAGAGGCCAGAGAATGCTGTCACTTAAAGAGGTTTGGGATCCAAGGGCTTTAAAAATATATATTTTGGTCAGTCGTGGGGCTTGAACTCTGGGCCTAGGCGCTGTCCCTGAGCTCTTTAGTTCAAGGTGAGCACTCTACCACTTGACCCACAGCGCCACTTCCAGTTTTCTGGTGGTTAATTAGAGATAAGAGTCTCATGGACTTTCCTGTCCAGACTGGCTTTGAACTGTGATCCTCAGATCTCAGCCTCCTGAGTGGCTAGGATTGGAGTTGGGGGGTTAGCTCAGTGGAAGAGCACCTGCCTGGCAAGTGCAAGGCCCTGAGTTTGGTCCTCAGCTCTGGATTAAAAAAAAAAAAAAAAAAAAGGCAACTGAATAGCTAGGTGTGAGCCACTGGCACCCGGCAAAAATTTTTTTTAAATTAAATATTAAATATGGCAGAAACTTGAGTATGCTGATATGCCAAAGGCAAGGATTATTTAATCCTAGGCAGACCTAGGCAAGGGCCTACCAAGGGGGCTGTACCAGGCTTAGGTGTAAAGAACCTCAGAAATGATTTTTTGTTGTTGTTGTCGGTTGTGGGGCCTGAACTCTGGGCCTAGGCGTTGTCTCTCAGCTCTTCAGCTCAAGGCTAGTGCTCTACCACTTGAGCCACAGCGCCACTTCTGGCTTTTTCTGCTTATGTGGTGTTGAGGAATCTAACCAAGGGCCTCTGGCATGCAAGGCAAGCATTCTATCACTGAGCCACCTTTCCAGCCCTCAGAAATGATCTTGATCATGAATGATGGGGATAATGTCTGGGGAGATGTAAACATAACATGCAATACAAACAGACAGCATCACCTACTCTTTTTTCTTCTTTTTGCTTATGTGGTGCTGAGGAATCCAACCCAGGGCCTCCTGCATGCAAGGCAAGCACTCTACCACTGAGCCACCTTCCTAGCCCCTAGCATCACCTACTCTTAAGATCCAGGAAAGGAGAATTGGGCCATAGGTTGGACGATGGTCTTATGCTTCTCTGCCCTACAGTCTTGCATGAAAACAAGGTCCCAGGACCTGAGCTTCCATTTCTTTGTGCTCTATCTGAGAAATTCACTCCTGGAGCCTTGCTCCCCTTAATTCTAACATATCATGGTAAACATACCCTATCTTTTGCCTCTTCCAAGCTTGGGCTGCTGCAACTTTTCCTCAATAACCCTGGCATAGAGCTGGAAGGACAAGGAGAAGGATACATTTCCCTGACAAATGGGAACTGAGCAGAAAGGAAGGACTGAAGTTCCTCTGTGGGCCAAGATCCTGAGGTGGTCCAGTCTCACGACATCACACTGGGACAGCAGCCTTTTGCCTGATTATCCCTGTTCCATCAACCATCAGTGCTGGTGACATTACACACAGCAGTTAGCAGCCGCAAAAAAGATCAAATGGAGACCCCATGGGGGTGGGGGGGGTCACACATGCAAGTCCCTCCAACCCACAGTGCCCACCCTGCCTAGGAACACTTGAGATCGCAAGCCCCCAAGCCCAACCCATTCCACATCCTGAAGATCTTAGCAGGGTCCCTGTCAACACCCTTGCTGGGGTCTTCTCACTGGCTTTCTCCACCCCCTCCCCAAGGTGCTGCTAGGGACTCTTTCTAAAGGGCAAAGCCAATTTTGTCCCTGCTGTAGCCAAATCTTTCCATAAGCAGTGGTAAGCACAGGGAATGTAGTTCTGGTGGCATCAGCTCCAAGTGTAAATCGCAGCTCGACTGATCACCTTATACAGGTGATTTCACCTCAGATTCTCACACCTACCTTGCAGGAATTTTAAGAAGTAAGTGTATCATGGGTAAAATATCTGGTAATTCTCTTGCTCCCCCCCCCCCAAAAAAAAAGAGCCTGCAGCAGAGGACCCACAGCTTGTCCTGGTGCCCATCCTGCATTTGTCTCTCCTGATCTGAGCCTCTCTTCCACACACAACCTCTTCTCAGCTTTCTGCCCATCCTAATCCTTCTGGCACCAGTCCAAATGCTGTCTCTTGGGATAGCATCCCTGATACCCCAGGGGTCTTGGAGCACTTGGCTCAGGATACCCTAGGGTTATTTCACTGAGACCTTCCCAAGGCTGGCCTGTGGGTACTCTTGGGGAACGAATGATATCTTAGGGGGTCTTTAGATTCTGACATGAAGAAAATTCAGGGCAAATGCACATGGGAATGTTAGGAACTGTGCAAATAGGCAATTAATCCGAACAGGAATCAGGAAGGGCTTCCAGGTAGAAGGACTGAGAAGGAATGGGATTCAGGGGGCACTATTGGGCCTTTTGGGGTGCAGAGATCTCCAGAACTTCTTGGTTGGGATGTATGAGGGAAGATCCATCTTCCCTTGGTGGTATGAGCAACCGAAGGGGAAGAGACCCTATCCTCCTCCATCCCAGCTCTGATGAAGCCGGTTTTCAGGACTGAGGGAGCCGACAGCGCACCCCCCTCACATCTTAGCACACACATACATACATACACACACGCACACGCACACGCGAGCCTCAGCTGTGCGGGGGGTGGGGGGAGGAGGGCTCGCCATTCACCATCAGCCCACAGCGCAGAGCGCCAATAGAGAGAGACCCCGGCCACAAGCCATTAGCAGAGGTGCCAGGGGGTCTCCAGGGTGGGGGAAATCCCGCCCGCACCTCTTCGGGCTCCCGGACAACGCGCGTGGCCCCGGGGGGCGGGGCGCGGAGGGAAGAGGTGACATAATCTGGGCCGCACCCCCTCCGGCCGCCACCTCCCCCTGGCCAGGCGAAGCATCCATGACATCATCAGCCTCATCTCCTCTCCCCTCCCCCCGGGACCCTAGCAGCGGGACGCGCCCCCTCCCCAGCTACGGGTCCAGCCAGACGCGTCGCGCAGTGCAGCGGACACGGAGGCGGGTCAGAGCCGGGAGGGGCGCCGCGGTGGGCCAGCCCCACTTACTCGCTGTCTCGGGGTCCGGCGCAGGGTCTCCGACGTGGACTCCACCGGCTCGGCTCTCTGGCGCAGTCCGAAGCCCGCCCGGCGGGGCGCGCGGCGCGGGCCCGGCTCCGCTCTGCGCCCCTCCCGCTCCCCGCCCGGGTCCCGCCCACCAGCGGCTGCGGCAAACGCGGGCCCGCCCTCAGGCCACGCCTCCCGGAGCCGCCAATCCCCGTGCTGGGGCGGGGCTCCTTAACCCCGTAGTCGCTGCACGCGAGTTGACACTTGGGACCCCCACTGTCTCGCCCGCTCGGAGGCGCCAAAATTCCGCTGAGTTCCTCGGCTGCCAGCTTTTTCTCGCCCTACCAAGCGCTCTGGGCTCAGCCCCCAGTCTCTCCTCTCTCTCTCTCTCTCTCTCCAATCCAGCAAGACCGCGCCTACCCTGACTCCCCCGACCCCTCCCCCCCCCCACCATCGTTTTTAGGCAATAGGGAAATGAGCGCTTTGGGCTTGAGGAAGGGGATCCCGAGTCAGCCCCGAGCCCTATTCTTTGGGATGTGCTCTTCCGGACGAAGCCTTCCAGTGGACCGCCTTTGAGACCCTGAGACTCTGCAAGGTCCGGGCGGATTGAGCTGGTGCAGCTGGATCTGATCGAACTCCACTAGGAAAGATCAGTCGGCGCGCGAGGGTCCCTGGCACGCTCGTGGGAGGCGTGGAGGGCCAGTAAAACTTGCTGCTCCCGAAGGCTGTCAAGGAGGTGCGCCGAGGAAATAAGACACTTGGTACTCCAGAAGGGTTTGCGTGCCTTCGTTCTGTGCGGTGTGCCTGGTGTCAGCCCCCACGTTGCATCCCAGAGTGAGAGGAAGCAAGGTGGGGACTTGTTTTTCACCCGTAGCGCCGGCCTGCCGCAGTTACTGCGCCGGGTGGGGAGAGGAAGTGCCCCAAGGATCGAGAAGACCGACCCGAGGAAGTAGCTGGCCTTGGACTACAGCCTTAGCCTCCTTTAGGGTGGGGAAACTAACCACGCCGGAGGCTCTGCGTCAGTAAAAAGCCTGGAGGCACCAGGGTCCAGGCTAAAGACCGCAGCACCTTCATCCTGGCTAAGATTTTAGTTCATTCTCCCTGCTGTGACGGCTGATGTACTTTTATGTCTTACTGTTTTCTGACGTTCTCCACATTTGCTTTTATATTCTAGTGATTTCTAAAACAGAAAGCTTTTTTGGGGGGGGGGGGCGGTGTCGGTTGTGCGGCTTGAACTCAGGACCTGGGCACTGTCCCTGAGTCTCTTTGTGGTCAAGGCTAGTGCTCTACCACTTGAAGCACAGTCACAGTGCTGTTTTGTTTTGTTCTTGTCGGTTGTGAGGTCTAGTGAACTCTGGGCCTGGGCGCTGTCCCTCAGCTCTTCAGCTCAAGGCTACCACTTGAGACAAAGCGCCACTTCTGGCTTTTTCTGCTTTTGTGGTGCTGAGGAATCGAATCCAGGGCCCTCATGCATGCAAGGCAAGGGCTCTACCACTGAGCCACCTTCCCAGTTCCTACTTCTATTTTGAGTGGCTAACTGGAGAGTCTCACGGGGATTTTTCTGCCCGGCCTGGCTTCGAACTGCGATCATCAGATTTCAGCCTCCAGAGAAGCTAGGATTACAGGCGTGACCCACTGGTGCCTGGCAGTAAGCTATTTTTAGGTCTAATGGTTGCCTTTAGATTAAGTAAGGCAAGCGCTGATGGCTCACACCACTAATCCTAGCTACTCAGGAGGCTGAGATTTAAAGTTTGAGGTTCCAAATCATCTCTGGCAGCAAAGTCTGTGAGTTTCTCATTTCCAATTAATCACCAAAAAGCCAGAAGTAGAGCTGTGGCTCAGTGGTAGAGCACTAGCCTTGAGTACAAAAGCTCAGGGATAGCTCCCAGGCCCTGAGTTACATATATGCGCTCTGGTACGCTCTCTCTCTCTCTATATATATATAATATTATATATACATTATACATAGTTTATTGCACGTCAATGACCTAATTTTTTATGTTCTTTTATGTAATGAGAAACTTTTTTGTGTGTGCTGAAGTTTGAATTTTTGCTTGTTAGGCCAGCACTCTCCTACCTAAAGCATGCCCCCAGCCTCAAGTGACACATAATTATATTTGTGGGGTTATTATATGACATTTAACATATCTTTTGTCCTCAGACCCACTTACATTTGTCCACTTGGACTACGATGATAGACTCAGTTTTTTTTTTTTTCTTTTGTCAGTCACAGGGCTTAAACTTGAGGCCTGAGTGCTGTCCCTGAGCTCTTTTGCTCAAGGCTAACCCACTCTACCACTCTGAGCCACAGCGCCATTTCTGGTTTTCTGGTGGTTAACAGGAGATAAATGTCTTATGGACGTTCCTGCCCAGGCTGGCTTTGAACTGCAATCCTCATATCTTAGCCTCCTGGGTAGCTAGAATTACAGGCCTGAGCTAGGTGCCCAGCTAGAGTGCCTGTCATTCTATCACTAAGCCACATTCCGAACCCCCAGCTTGTTTATTTTTTTTTCTGTCTGTCTGTCATGGGGCTTGAACTCTGGCCTGGGTGCTGACCCTCAGCTCTTTAGCTCAAGGCCAATGCTCTACCACTTGAGCCACAGCGCCACTTCCGGCTTTTTTTTTCCTTTTTGCTTATGTGGTGCTGAGGAATCGAACCCAGGGCCTCAGGCATGCAAGGCAAGCGCTCTACCACTGAGCCACCTTCCCAGCCCTCTATTTCTTATTTGGACACATGTTTTGCATGACTTGTGATTTCAGGGAGGGCATTTTTGTTTTTTGTTTGCTCTAGGTGAAAATGCCTTCATGGTGGCTTGAATGTTTATAGAATTCTTGCCTGTCAAACTTCCTGATTCCCTTGTCCTTACCTCACTCTCTCACAGTAAAAATGGAATCAAAGCTGAGCTTATTTGCCTGGTGCCGTAAAAGTTTTTTGTTTTGTTTTACCCACAGTAGTCATACATGTTTCCAGTGGGGGCCTTTGTTAATTTTCTAGAAAGAAAATATATCTTTTCAGCTTTGAAAAGTCTACTAATATGTTCCTGTGCATTCTATGAATAGATTTTGCTTTTTTTCCCCCTAAGATTGTCACTTTGGATAACCATTGTCAAATAAATCTCTGTTCTGTTTCTCTGCATCTTGGGTATCTTAAGTTCTTCCTCAATACCACAAAGTTAATTTTCTTCAAAGTCAAGAGTGCTATTTGTTTTCACCAATGAGGCATTTGTTTTATTTTCCTTTGATTTCAGCCAGTTTCCATTTCACCTCTATTTTTATGTTGACTTACTTGCTCTTTATAGTTTTCTTGTTTTTGTCAGCCGTGGGGCTTGAACTCTGGGCCTGGGCGCTCTCCCTCAGCTCTTCAGCTTAAGGCTAGCCCTCTACCACTTGAGCCACAGCACCGCTACCAGCCTTTTCTGCTTATGTGGTGCTGATCGAACCCAGGGCTTCCTGCATGCAAGGCAAGCACTCTACTACCACTGAGTCACCTTCCCAGCCCTCTTTATAGTTTTGTATTTCATGAAGAATGTGTTTTTGTATCTGTGTGTGTGCACATGCACGTATGGTATGCCCGTGCATGCCAGTACTGGGGCCTGAACCAAGAACCTCCTGCTCTCACTCAGCTTTTTCTGTTTTTGGCCAGTCCTGGGGCTTGCACGCTAGACCTGGGCACTATCCCTGAGCTTCTTTAGCTCAAGGCTAGCACCCTACAACTTGAGCCACAGTGCCACTTCCAGCATTTTCTGTTTATGCGGTACTGAGGAATCAAACTGAGGGCTTCATGTATGCAAGGCAACCACTCTGCCACTCAGCCACATTACCAGCCCTCAGCTTTTTAATTCATAGCTAGCCACAATAATCAGGAGGACTGCAGTTTGGTTCCAGCTTAGGCAAAAATTATGGCGACTCCTATTTCAACTAGTGTAGTGATTAATGTCTGCCACACAAGGCTTAAGGACTGTATTATGGTCCAGGCTAGCCCAGGCAAAAAAATTGAGACCCTACCTGAAAAATAACTAAAAGCAAAAGGGTTTGGGAGTATGACTCATGGAAGACGACTTGTATAGCAAATGCAATGCCCTGAGTTCAAATCCCAATACCACCACCAAAAAAATAATAATAAGGACCCTTCTAATTATCCAGAAACAGTTGGAATTAAGATCTAATAATTTTTCCTACTGATTGGTAAAATCAGGAAGACCTTGGGGCTGGGAAAGTGGTGGTGGCTCATTGGTAGAGTGCTTGCCTTGCATGCATGAGGCCCTGGGTTCGATTTATCAGCACCACATAAGCTGTGGCTCAAGTGGTAGAGCACTGGCCTTGAGCTGAAGAGCTGAGGGACAGCACCCAGGCCCAAAGTTCAGGCACCATGACCGACCAAAAAAAAAAAAAAAAATCAAAAGGCCTCAAATGGTCTAACCACAAGGTTTGCTCTCCCTTTGGACCCATGATAAGGTCCCCTAACCAAACAAACCTCTTATCAAATAGACCTGGTGCAATTCCTACTTATTGCTCAGTAGGGGGTTTTAGTTCCCTGACAACTATTGGAATTGTTCAAACCAACCAATCACATCTCCAGCAGGTACTAGGGACTCCCTATCCTCTTGCTTCTATAAAATCTGCCCTTGCACAGCCTCTGATTGTCCACTCAGTTCGCAGGTGCAAGTCCCTTGTAGCCCTACATGGCTTATGATGTCCTCCTTCCCTGGGTGATGATTATACACGTAACTAATAAACTACCACCACTCTCACCTGTACAAGTGTCAAATGTCCTGTTTGGGAACTCTGGGTTGGGAAACTCTTCCTCTCCAAAGACATGAGGAGGTAGTTAAAACAAAAATTCACAAGGCTGATGATAGTCCATGTTGGAGATGCTATAGGAAAAAAGAAACTGGCATAGCATTTTTTTTTGTTTTCTATTCCAGTGCTGGGGATCAACACCATAGCCTGTGCATGCTAAGCAAGCTATCTGGCTTTTCTGCATGTATCTCCTAGATTGTTTTACTGCTGCATTCTACCCAAGCTTTAAGGAGATTAATTCTAGTTGCCTTATTTTTTTGGGGGGGTGGGGGGAGTCTTTTATAACTTTTTTTTTTCTTTTTT